TAGAGCCACGCTTGCATCCCAGGAATAAATCCACTTTATCACGGTGAATGATTTTTTTAAATGTATTGTGGATTTGGTTTGCTAATATTTTGTTGAAGATGTTTGTATTTATATTTATCAGAGATATTGACCTGTAGTTCTCTTTTTTAGTGATGTCTTCATCAGATTTTGGTATCAGGGTAATGCTGGCCTCACAGAATGAATTTGGGAGTTTTCATTCCTCTTCTATTTTTAGGAAAAGTTTGAGAAGAATAGATATTAACTATTCCTTAAATGTTTAGTAGAGGGATGCCTGGGGAGCTCAGTGGCTGAGTGTCTGCCTTCAGCTTAGGGCATGATTCTGGAGTCCTGGGTCCAGTCCCATATCAGGCTCCCCGGTGGGAGCCTGCTTCTCCCTCTGCCTATGTCTCTGCCTCTCTCTCTCTCTCTCTCTCTCTTTCTCTCTCTTTTTCTATGTCTCATCAATAAATAAATAAAATCTGTAAAAAAAATGCTCAGTAGAATTCACCTGTGAAGATAGCTAGTCCTGGACTTTTGTTTGTTGGGTGTCTTTTGATTACTGATTCAATTTTAATGATTGTAATTGGTCTGTTCAAATTCTGTATTTCTTCCTGCTTCAGTTTTGGAAGGTTATATGTTTCTAGGAATTTATCCACTTCTTCTAGGTTGTCAAATCTGTTGGCACACAATTTATCATAATGTTCTCTTATAATCTTTTGTATTTCTGTGGTGTCAGTTGTTATTTCTCTTCTTTCATTTCTGATTTTATTCAAGGCCTCTTTCTGTCTATCTCTCTATCCTTTCTTTTTTCTTTTTTTTCTTTTTTTTTTTTTTGAGTCTGGCTAGAGGTTTATCAATTTTGTCTATCTTTTCAAAGAACCAGCACCTGGTTTCATTGATCCATTCTATTGTGGTTTTTTAGTTTCCATATCATTTATTTCTGGTCTAATCTTTATTATTTTCTTTTTTCCACTGGTTTGGGGGTTTTGTTTGTTCTTCCTTCTCTAGCTCCTTTAGGTATAAGTTTATGTTAGGTTGTTTGAAATTTTTCTTGTGGTAAGGCCTGTATTGCTATAAACTTCCCTCTTCAAATCACTTTTGCTGCATCCCAAAGAGTTTGGATTGCTGTGTTTTCAGTTGTTTCTTTCCATGTAATTTTCTATTTCTTTTTTCCAAATTGACTAATTCATTATTTAGTAGCATACTATTTAACCTCCATGTATTTGTAGGTTTTCCATGTTTTTTTCTGGTGATTGATCTCTAGCTTCATTGCCTTCTGATAAGAAAAGATGTATGGTATGACTTTGATCTTTTTTAATTTTCTGAGATTTGTTTTGTGGTCTAATATGTGATCTATTCTGAGAATATTCTATGTGCACTTGCAAAGAATGTGTATTCTCCTGTTTTATGATGGAATGCTTATGAATCTATCAGTTAAATCCATCTGGTACAGTACGTTATTTAAAGCCAAGTTTTCCTTGTTGATTTTCTGTTAGAGCATCTGTCCATTGATGTAAGTGGGGTCTTAAAGTCACCTACTATTATTGTATTGCTATGCATTATTTTCCTTTATGTTTGTTATTAGCTGTTTTATGTGTTTGGGTGCTCCCATGTTGGATGCATAAATATTTATAGTTGTTATCTCTTCTTGTTGGATTGTCGCCTCAATGATTGTTTGGTGTCCTTCTTTGTCTCTTGCTATAGTCTCTGTTTTATTTTTATTTTTAGATTTTATTTATTTATTTATTCGAGAGAGAGAGAGAGAGAGAGAGAGAGAGAGAGAGAGGCAGAGACGTAGGCAGAGGGAGAAGCAGGCTCCATGCAGGGAGCCTGATGTGGGACTTGATCCCGGGTCTGCAGGATCATGTCCTGGGCCGAAGGCTGTGCTAAACAGCTGAGCTACCGGGCTGCCCCAGTCTCTGTTTTAAAGTCTATTTTGTCTGATAAAAATATTGCTAGCTTTCTTTATACATCCATTTTCATGATCAATGTTTCTCCACTCCCTCATTTTCAATCTGCATGTTGTCTTTACGTCTGAAATGAATCTCTTATAGGCAACATATAGATAAGTCTCGTTTTTTATCCATTTCATCACTCTTTGTCTCTTGATTGGAGCACTTAGTCCATTTACACTCAAAACAATTATTATAAGCAGGGATTTATTGCAATTTTGTTACTCATTTTATGGTTATTTTTGTAGCTTTTTTCTAATTATTTTTCTACTTTTGCTCTCTTCTCACACAGTTTGCTCATTTACCTCAGTGATATACTTAGATTTCTTTCCCTTTATTTTTTGCTGATCTATTGCTGGTTTTTAAATTTGTGGTTATCATTAGGCTTGTATAAAGCATCTTCCTGCTTTATGGGAGTCTATATAAAGTTGATGATCAATTGAGTTTGAACCCATGCTTTACTTCTCTCCTCCCTGCGTTTTAGGTATATATTGTCATATTTTATGTCCTTTTATTTTATGAATCCCTTGACTGCATTTTACAGATATACTTATTTTTACTACCTCTGTGCTTCCTACTTTTCTTGCTCTTACTTATGGTGTTTTTTCCACTCAGAGTCCTCATCAATGTTTCCTGTAGGGTTCATTTAGTGGTCATGGACTCCTTTAGCTTTTGTTTGGGAAATTCTTTATCTCTCTTACTGTTCTGAAATATAGCCTTGCTGGATAGAATATTCTTGGCTGCAGATTTTTTCTTTCCTTTCAGCACTTTGAATATATCTTGCCATTCTCTTCTGGCCTGTAAAGTTTCTGATGAAAATTTCACTTATTGCCTTATGGGGTTTCCCCTTTATGTAAGTGTCTTCTTTTCTCTTTCTGTTCTTAAAATTCTCTTTTCCACTACTTCTGCCATTTTAATTACTATGCATCCTTGGGTTGATTTTGTTGGAGGTTCTCTCTGTATCCTGGATCTGAATATTTTTTTCTTCCCCAGGTTTAGAAAGTTTTCAACTATTAAGTTTTCAAATGAATTTTCTCTTCTTTTCTCTCTTTTTCCCTATAATGTGAGTATTATTACATTTGATGGAATTGCTGAGTTCCATAAGTCTGTTCTCATTTTGCATATTTTTTTCTCTCTCATAGGCTCAGCTTGATTACTTTCCATTGTTCAGTTCTCTAGGTCTCTAATTCATCTTTCTGTTTCCTCTAGCCTGCTATTTATTCCATCTAGTGTATTCTTAATCTCATTTATTGTGTTCTTCATCTCTGATTGGTTCTTTTTAAACTCATTATTAAGGGTCTTGCTGATGTCTTCCACTCTTTTCTTAAGTTCTGTGAGTAAAGTTATGCTCAATACTTTAAACTCTCTATAAGATATATCTGCTTTGGCTAGGTTTCTTGTTATGGTTTTGTTCTGTTCTTTATTTTTGGGACATATTCCTCTGTCTCCTCATTTTTTCTAACTCTCCGTGTCTGTTTCTGAGTGTTAAGGAAGTCAGCTACATCTCTTGCTCTTAAAAGTATGGCCTAGTGCTTCAGAGGTGTCTCCTATGTGTGTTGTGTGGGCCTTGCTTTTGAGTTTTGACTGCTTTTCCTTCAGTCCAGTCATTTGGCTCTTTTTATTTGTTGTGGACAATGTTTGGTCTTTGTGGTGTTATTAGGGGTCCACCTTGGGTTTGACTTGAGTCAAAACAGGCATTTGCCAAGATTCAATAGCAGAAAATTGCAGGGTACTTTCTCTGTATTATCCCCTGCGAAGTTTTCATTTGTGAGCAGGGCCTACAATCAAACCCACAGTCTGCCCCCAGCCCACTGCTGGGGCAGCTCTCTGACTGGTATATGTGCTTGTCTCCTTTTATTCCAGGGCAGGTATCATTTTAGAGTGATGTTGGCCTGTATTGGGGGCTGTTTGCACACTGCCAGCCTTGTGGCTGCAGTTTGAATGGACTCTGCCCAAGAGTGTATTGGAACAGACATGCCACTGGTTCTGGCACTGGCCAGAGTGGAGTCCAAAGTTTTAACAATGTGCATACTGGCCTCCTTGCAAAATTATCTGCCTTAACTAAGGCAGATCTGTAAAGCATATATGGGCAGGGCACAAAATTTTAACAAAGTGTGTGTTGGTCTTTATGGGACCCACTGCCTTCACCAAACCTGGCCCAGGGTCCTAAAAGTGTGTGGGAGCAAAAGACTGAATGTTGGCCAGGTTTGTGCTGGTCTTCTTAGAGATGCCACCTGTGGTGCTGAGACTGAGGCAAGATTACCTGGAAAGGGCAAATCTTCTGAAGCAGTGTGGATGGGTGGATTACAGTGGGTTAGGGGTATGTGTATTAGTAAATTAGGCACCACACTGGTTCCTGGGGGTGGTCATTCTTTATGCTGAGGGAAAATGGCACCTGCCAGCTACTCTGTTCCTGGGGAAATCCAACAGGAGAACACTTTTAAAGCTAATACTGCCACTAAACAGCTATGTGACTTTAAAACAACCTCTTCATCTAACTGGATTTCAATCTCCTTTTTATGTAAAATGAAAAAAAGTACAATCAATAGATATTCCCAAAAAGACTGTGCTGACATTCCATGTATATGATGCTTTATACTATGCCTTTGGAGAAAGGAAGAAACTGGTTCTATGATCTCTTCTTTTTTTCATGAAGGCACAGAAGTTAAACCTCATCTAAGTGACTGAAGGAATATCTGGTAGATAAGAGACTAGGTGATATACATATCAGACATTTTGTCTGATTATTGCTCTGCAGAGCCTCAAGGAATCTCTGTGTGATTATATGAGCTTGCCTTTTTTACACTGTACTTACACAGGAATTACAAATAAATGAACAAAGGAGATTTGAGAAGGGCAATCCTTCAATAATTGTTCAGACAGAGACTGCCCAAATAGAAAACACATGCTATTTCCCCTCTGCCTGACCAATTTGGCCTTCAGAGTACAAGTTCCCAGGAGAGGGGCTGGGCCTTTCCAGGCAGGAACTGGAATCAGAGGCTCCCCCTGCTACTCGCTGGGAGTGAAGAACATTAGGAATGACTTTCAACGCCATAGTTCCTGTACTGTCTCACAGTAGCCACGCAGCTTGGGGACAATCAAACTGCAGCTTAGCCTCACCTCGGCAGGAATCCAGATGCAGGCCAAATACAGCAGCACAAGGGATATGCTGGATGCTGATGGGGACACCATCATGAGTGTGCAATCTCGAGCCTCTTCTACAACCCAGCAGCCAGAGCCCAGGCACACAGGTACTCTGTCTCTGGGAGTCCAGATTGGTCAGACTCTTGAGCAATCTATGAGATAAACTATCTTTCTGAAGAATGTGCAAAGTGAGGGAAAGAGAAAGTGTTTTCATGACTTACATTTATTGTAGCTGTGGACTTTCCACAACTCATGTGCCTGTGTATGAACATCTGAAAAATTAAACTTAGTATATACACAGATGTTTGTTTTTTCTAAGATCCAATTGCTGGCACAGTGGTTTTCTTTTCACTAGCTTTGAATTTATAGCTTTGGAGGGAGGTTTCTAAGCAGACACATCAGCTCTGGTATTTTGTTGTCAGAATTCTGCATCTTATAGTTGCAAGGCCTTAGGAGAGAGAGTCATGTTGGGCTTTTATCATCTGTGAAATGAGGGAAGGATTAAAGTAAGCACTTTTTAAGTGTCCCTTTAGCTCTAAAATTCTGTGATTTGATGATCTAAATAGTGGTTTCAGATGCAATTATATCCCACCCCATTCCTTTTTATTATTTTTCAGTCCATAGAAGAGAGAATTCCCATATATAGAGAAAGATCTTATTTCCTGGGAAACTCAGCATATATATGTAAAACATAACTTATTAACCTTATACTCCAACCATTTATAAGAAAAGTGTTTGATATATATGTGTTTAGAATAATTCCAGGTACATAATTCTCAGTATATACATGTTTAATATCAGTTATATTTTATAAGTAAAGAAACCTAGGCCCCAAAATACTTGAGTAACTAGTCCAATATCGAAGTTTGTAAGCGGCACACCTGGTATTAGAACCTAGTCCTGTCTGTGTTCCACTGTGAGGTTTTTCCATTAAAACTCAAGTGACAGGGGATCCCTGGGTGGCTCGGCTGCCTTTGGCCCAGGGCGCAATCCTGGAGTCCCGGGATGGAATCCCGCGTCGGGCTCCCGGCATGGACCCTGCTTCTCCCTCTGCCTGTGTCTCTGCCTCTCTCTCTCTCTCTCTCTCCCTATGTCTATCATAAATAAATAAATCTAAAAAAAATAATAATAACATTAAAACTCAAGTGACATTTCTGCCTTACATTGACTGAGTTGCCCAGGAAATAAGATCCTTCTCTATGTATATGAATTCTCTTGTCTAGGGACTGAAAAATATATTTTTAGTACTATGTCAGAAGGTGAATTCCTGGAAATAAAAGTATAAGTTGGAAGCTAAGTAACAAATTGAATATATTTTTTAAATATTTTATTTACTTATCTATTCATGAGAAAGAGAAAGAGAGCACAAGCTGGAGGAGAGGCAAAGGGAGAAACAGACATCCCGCCAAGCAGAGAGTTCAACATGAGGCTCCATCCCACGACTCTGAGATCATGACCTGAGCCAAAAGCAGATGCTTAATCAACTGAGTCACTCAGGCACTCCACAAATTAAATATTTTTATAATTCAATTCAAATATCTCTCTTATAAGGTTAGAGTAAAAGGTTGATAAGTCCTTGGCATCTTGCAGACACACCAGAAATGTGCATTACCTTTCAATATTTCATTCCTCGTGAATTCTTAAGTGTTCTGTGTCAGTTGGCATCATAGAGATGCCTGTTCAGTGACTGTATATCCTTTCTCTTTTGACCACATTCAGGTGTTCTTCACCTGTATAAATCTGGGCACATATCTTTTCACTGTTCTCTTCCACTTCTTCTTTATCACATAGCTTTTAGGTTTTCTTCATTTTCCCCTGTTAAACCTTTCCATTCCCATTCTATTCATTGAATGATCACCACCTGAGACTCACCGATATTATTTTATTTTATTTTTTGCTTTTTCCTAAACTATGCACTCAGTTGTAAGAAGATACTGGAAATTTCCAGCTTCCTTGATGTGAAGCAAAGTGACAATTTTGGGATATCAGTTTCTGTAGGCACCAGATATGTGTAATAAGATATGTTATGTTTTCCTCCAGCAAATCCTGTGAAGAATCAGCTCTCAGGGCTGTGGTTTTAAGTGGCTTGTGTATAACTTCATATTTCACCTTTGACTAGAGCCAGGAACTCTCACAAGGATTGGTGATTAGCATAATCAGGAACAGGGTGTACAAATAAGTCCTACTGAGCTCAAGGGTGGAGAAGTAGGTGGGGCAGGATAAAACACTTGCTGAAAGATCTGGCAATCTTTCCATAAGAAGTCAAAACTGAAGAAACAGTAGGAGTAGAGGTTACAAAGAAGTGTCTTGAAGGCCAGCCTCTGAAAATAGTTATCTTCCCTTACACATATGATACCTTGTTTTTATCTTGTAATAATGCAGATATGTAGAGGAAAGCCACAGAAGTTTAATTATTTCTTAGGAAAATGATTTGATATAATTTTGCTGTTAAAAATAACTGAGCAAAAATCACTCCAGGAATATTTTGGCAATGCATAGGATTTAAATTCAACATAATATTGTTGAATAACTTATAATAACCTCATGACTGGAAAATTATTTTTTTCTTTAGAATTAGTAAAAACAAATTATGTACACTTATTTGTCTTCTTTCATTTTTTAATATAAAAGTTATGTTCATCTTTAAAAATGCTAAACAATTTAGAAGATAAAAAGGAAAAGTGAATGACAATGTCCTCATACCTAATTCTGTATTTTTGGAGAACTGTAAGCAATGTGTTTTGGCTGAGGTGTAGAATTGGAGAGAGAGGAAGCTAGCAAGAAGGAAGTATGGGAAGTTATAAAGGGCCTATTATGTTATACTCAGGTATTTTGATTCTAATTCAGTAAAATTAACTCATGTAGGGATTTAAGCAGGGAGTAACATAATGACTTTTGTGTTTTTAGAAGACCATCTAGGCTGTAATGAGGAGGAGGAGTTGAAGGAGTAGGAAACTGGATGAGCTAATAGCTGGGTATTTTACATTAGTCTAAGCATGAGATTAGAGGAATCTGAACTGAAGTAGTAGAGGAATGAAGAGGAGGAATCAGATGCCAAGGAGGTGGAGTTGATATTTGGTAAGAATTACACTTTCTGAGAATGAGCAAGATCACTGAAGATGACAATGTAAAACAAAAAGACAAAAAAAAAAAAAAACACAAAAAAACCCCACAAAGGAACAGAGTACCTAGGAGAGATTCTCTTACCAAATGAAGGGAAGGATGAGTGAGAGATTCCAAGAAAAGCTACAAAGAATGATTGGTAGTGATAGAAGCCGACCAGGAGAGAGAGACATTAAGGAATCCAAGAAATAATAACTTCATGAGAAACAGAAAAGTCAATGATAATAAATGGTGAATTTTAAAAATAATAAACAGTAATACTGCAGAAAGTTCAAGTAAAAGGAAGGCTAAAAACAATTTTTTGTTTTAGCAATAAGGAGAAAAATGGATTATTGGTAATTCTTAATAGCAAGGGTTTGAAAGGAACATAGTCAAATAGGAAAATAAATATTTGTCATTTTCTTTTTAAAAAAAATCTCTCTTTGATGAACCAGCTATAAAAAGAAAATATAAAGTGTTAAATCTGAGGTAGAATGAGTTTTTGTGAGCGCATTTTAGAATTATTTCTTTCTTTATTTGATAGAGAGCAAGAGCATAAGCAGAGGGAGAGGGAGAAGCAGGCTTCCTGCTGAGCAGAAAACCTAATATGAGGCTCAATCCTAGGACCTTGGGATCATGACCTGAGTGGAAGGCAGATGCTTAACCAACTGAGCCACCCAGGTGTACCTAAAATTATTATTATTTTTAAAGATTTTATTTATTTATTCATGAAAGTCACAGAGAGAGAGAGAGAGAGAGAGAGAGAGAGAGAGAGAGAGAGAGAGGCAGAGACACAATCTCCATGCAGGGAGCCCAATGTGGGACTTGACCCCAGGTCTCCAGGATCACACCCTGGGCCGAAGGCAGCACTAAACTGCCGAGCCACCGGGGCTGCCCAAATTATTTTTTAAGATGTGAGATTCTAACTCAATTGTAGCTTGAAAAGAAGTGCAGCAAGAGCATGTCACAGTAATAATGTACTAGAGAGAGAGAGAATAAAATCACTGATGGGCTAAAATTTCTACTGAAGACTAAATATAGACCTATCAAAAGAATATGAAAATCTATTTGGGTTTACAAAAAAAATTAAAACCCTTTAATGATAAATTCAAGTTCTGTTTTTCTCTACCTATATTAATTATAATATTCTCAATTTTTTCTAGCTTCATTTCCCCAACTAAAGCATAAACTCTTCTTTGAAGTGTCATGGCATAAATCACATCTAATTGATTCAACAAATCTTTAATGTATGCCTACTTAATATCAAGTGGTACTGCAGGCATAGGAGATCCTTCTCTTTTATTGAAGTATAGTTGACACGAGACGTTAAATTAGTTTCAGACGTGCAACATAGTGATTTGACACCACAGGTGTAGCTACCATCTATCACCATACAGTGCTATTACAATACCATCCATTATATTTCCTATGCTGTACCTTCTCTCCCTGACTTATTCATTCCATAGCTTGAAACCTATTCCTCCTACTACCCTTCATTCATTTTGTCCATCCTCCCACCTGCTCCCTCTCTTGCAATCATCCATTTGTCTTCTGTATTTATGGGAAGATCCTACTTTTAGGTGTTTGGAGAAGTGGAAGGAATAATTTGAATTAGTTCTAAGAAAATGCATTTAATGTTATTGAATATATGTAGGAGACCAAGAAGCAAGTAGAGATGAATAAGTTACCGACTGTGTTTTACTCATATGGGTATCTTTGAATGAAATGACATTCGCTCTTGTCGGTAAGCCTGAGTCCAAGTTTTTCAGGCAGAGCAAGATGGGCACTAGTTGTCAGGACTATATGTACAGAGATAAAGGTAGATAGGTAGGAGCTAGCTTGGTGCAATGTATTTATTGATAAAATTAAGAAAGACAAGAGTTCAGAGGGAAAAAATGAGGTGCGAATTTAGAACAGGATAAGATCATTTGGTGAATCATCAGCAGATGATTCAAACACAATGGCAAGGTAGATTATTGGCGTAAAGAATGGTTAGCCATCAAAG